AAAGCTTCTACACGACAGTTCTAAACTGCTATCCCCATTTTTACATAAGATCATTGACTTATAACCGGTAGACATACCTGTTCCACCAACAGACCCAAAGTAAATTTTTTACTTAAAGGTAAATGGTTTTGGAGAAAGCAGCTTTAAACTCTCATGAGAACGCCTATGAAAAAAAGGTAAGAAGTAGGTTTTTCGTGGTATTCAAAATCTAGTTGCACATAGTGACTGACAGACGGAGGTGACTCGCTTAAAAATGTTCGTAATATTGAAACCATTAAAGCCGCAGACCATAAAAATAAAAAATAGCCGCGTAAATTTGGCCAAAACATTCCGACTACAAAGAGTAAACTCTGTCTATCGCTAAAAATTTATTTAATAACTGAGGAAGAATACATTAACGCTTTGCTCAGTTCCTTATTTGTTTATCCTTCACCTACAGTTTCCTGCTCGCAATCCTATTTTCTAAACTTTTCTTGCTTCTAATTGCGAGTAACAACGAAACTTAGCTACAATATTACGTCTTCGTTTGAGTCATTTTGACTCCCAAACATTTGGGATAGAGAGGGCACATATCTCCTCCTGCCTAGCCTAAATTTGGTCAGTAACCCTGCATATACTTCAAGCTGAATAAGCATACGTTCTATAGCTGCGAAGCAGCAGAAGGTACTCTTTGGAAGTTATCGCACCAGATATTTGAGTTTACATGGTAGCCTCGTTCTCGCATATTGCAAAAGTGGTGATTACATGCTTTTTCCCGTATAGGAAAATGAGAAAAATCACGATTTGCTCCCACACACTGTGCTCTTGGAAACTCTATTTTATAAGAGGTACGTTAGCAATAGAAACTATTCTGAGTAGAGTGATCTGCTTTTCAGTAAGGACGAGCTATCCCTCGTCAATGACCAGTTAAGCGATGTTAGCACTTAGGTGGATTTACCAGGAAAAAAATAGTTTCCTTTTAATGAGTGTTCCTATTAAGAATTGACAAACTCACATTTGAGTCTACAAATTGCTTTTCTTTTAACAAGAAAACTGACAAAAATTCTAGGCCAAAAGTTCTTTTGCAGCACTGCGCTACTCATGCAAAACTTACCGACGAGGAGGTAAGCTTACTATTATTGACAGTTCACACATTACAATCGATGAATAGATAGTGAGGTTTAGCTTTTTAATCTCAAAAAAAAAAGTGGTCTCTGGAAAAGCAATGATTTGTTGCAAAATTCCAGAATAGTGAAGAGAACTGGGAAAGATAGAGTTGCATCTGGTGCAGCTAGACAAGCTAATAAATAAATATTGATATTTTTCAGTTTAACTTCCTGATTCATCTTGCTGTTTCAAGACTGGAAAAAAGAGCCAATGTGCCGCTACATTTTATACAAGAGTCAAAGCACCTTGAGAAAGTAGCAAGGGATTATATTTGTGGTCTAAACTCTTTTCCAATAATGGACTATTCAGTCGAAATTAACCGTAGCGAACCTATTCAAGTTATACTGGATAAAATTGAGAAGAACGTAAGAACTCTGTAAAATGTTTATTTGAACAGTTTCTTAACAAACAGAAACAGCAGCAATTTTACATCTGCAGTCATCAACATTACTATAAGGTTGTTTAACATACTCGTCATGATTTATTTAATTGATTTACTAGTGAGAAATAGATTTCTCAAAATTAAAAGTGGCTGCAGTTCAAATTTTCTTTGAAGCGTCAAATCTTTTAATTCAGAATTTTAACTACTGTTTCAAAAAGAAGAACACGTTGAATAAAAACAGCACTCACTTGGTTTCCTCCCAAACCCTTTCCGCTTGCTTAAGGTCGCAAAGCAGACAGTTTCCTCTTCCGTGTGTTCCCTCGTAGCAGACCAAGGAGTACAGCTCTGCACAACTAGAATTACTTGCCCTAACACTATTCAAACTAAGATCGTTAGGAAACGGTTTTGTGAGAATAAAATAATTCTTTAATTGCTTTGTTCAAAAGCGCTTTTTGACGGAGTTGACAAATCACAAATTTGTGTTGACCCACTACAGTACCCATACTTGTAAATTTATTTCCTTCTTTCCACTGTAAACTTTGCTAAACCAGCTTTGCTCCAGATATCTGTGCCAAAACAATAAAAATACTTGTAACGTAACGGTAAAAAAAAACTGGTTGTGCAATGTTGAGAATAAACAGTTTGAAATTAAGTTTGGTACTTCAGTATGATTCTAGAGACTCGTCATTTTGAAGAACTAATATTTTTCAGACAATTTCTAAACAGCTGAAGTTAGCACATTTATCGAAAGTTATTTTGACTGCAAGGAAACTGAACAGAATTCTGCGTCGACACGGTAACCACCGGTATTTCATTGCAATAGATTTTGGTAAGGATTGTTTTATTGAATTTTTGAAAGGAAATAAAAGAGATCTTTGCACGTAAAAACCTGATTTAGCAGAATTAACACGTTCCCATACTTTAGTAAACTGTAGCTGAAAATAATTGTAAACGTCAACTTGAGTCAATATCAGATACATTCCTATATTCCAAAAACTTTCTTCCAGACCAGTTTGGTTATGACACCTACTCAATTATCACCCGTCTCCGGCAGCGTGACTTCACTGTGGAAACAGTTTCAGAAGGAGATCCGATTGTGTGAGCAATTTTCAATGTTTCCGGATAACACGACTCGGAATTGGCTCATTTAACGAATCTACTTAGACACTGAGCAACCCCTACATTCAAACGACAAAAATTTTTGCAATTACCTTCAACTATAAATTAAGCAGATTCACCTAAACTATATTTCAATTCCAGATACACTTATGACAACACTTTATATCCAGGACCTGCGAAATCCCCTAAGCGGATGGCGCAAAAAAATAATGCTGCATCAGCCAACTCGAGTGTTCTTGACAAAGAAATCTTCACTAAAACTTTCTTGTTACATGCAATGTTCTTTATGCTCCCATATCTCTTATCAAACGACCAAGACGGCTGTTAACCCCAATGACTCACTTCCAGACAAATTTGTCTTACCAACCTCCAAAACTACGAAAAAACGTCTCCGATGAGGGGGAACCAGATCCGTCCGAAAAATATGATCAACACCAACCCCTCCATCTCGCAAATGTCGCACGAGCCAAAATCTCAATGAAATTCCCCCTCCCTCCGCCCGCCGCAATAAAACGCCACCCACACACTCCCTAGTACCTCAACTCTCCAAAACCCCCCAGTAATACAGCCACACTGCAGCCTCACTTTGCGACCTGAACGGTCACACTGCACTCGCTCTTGAACGGCCTCCATACCGGACCTAACCTATTATGCATCCAAGCAGTACAAAGCACTTTCACAGCCTTCCATCCCGAAAAAAAAAACAAATGACTTTTACTGTGGACAACCCGAACACATGCAGATAAAGAATTTCACGACCGACAAAAGACATTAATCCAAAAACATAAGACTATGGAGTAACTGTTCAGAATAAAGCGACTTGAGGTGAAAAAGTACAAACAAACACAACTACATAATTTCAATGCAACAAAAACAGAGCTAAAGGCTTCGCAACACTTTTTACAAACATTACGGACCACACCTCTTAAAGCAAACAAATTTCTATAATTTAAACAGCTGAGGGATGACAGGATTGTTACCTGACGTGCTCTGTTTATGTTACAAAAATCAAAACTTGAGAGCAACGAACAGAAATCTAAACTCCCTCTGGACACATCATGAAGTTAAAGCCGAAAGATATTAACGAAAGTTCAAATCACGTTTTCTGAAAACTATCTACCCATAAGCAATAAAGACATCGCTCACTCGTATTTAGTGCGCCTTGTGCTTTTTCTGACTTTTTAAGTTCTCCTCAAGCTTGTCAAGAGTCTGAAAAAACACTAGTTAGATCTTTACAAGAAATTTATCCACTAGCTGTTGATTAAAAGATTACCAAGTTTGCGCAGTCCGGTAAACGTGTACCAGGACCAAAAATGGCTGCGACACCAGCTTTGTACAAAGCATCATAATCTTGTGGAGGGATAACACCTCCAGCGATTACAAGAATATCACTGGAAAGTAAACGAAGGATTAATCAAACAAA